ATGCGGTAACCCGAAAGTTGTTCGGAGTCCCGGATGAGATCCCGGACGTCATGAGGAGTTCCGGAATGGTCCGGAGGTAAAGAATTATATATAGGAAGTGCTATTTCGGCCATCAGGACAAGTTTCGGGGTCACCGGTATTGTACCGGGACCACCGGAAGGGTCCCGGGGGTCCACCAGGTGGGGCCACCTGCCCCGGGGGGGCACATGGGCTGTAGGGGGTGCGCCTTGGCCTATATGGGCCAAGGGCACCAGCCCCAAGAGGCCCATGCACCAAGAGAAGAGGGAAAGGAAGAGTCCTAAAGGGGGAAGGCACCTCCGAGGTACCTTGGGGAGGAGGGACTCCTCCCTTGGCCGCACCCTTCCTTGGAGGAAGGGTCAAGGCTGCGCCCCCCCCCTCCCCTCTCCCTTGGCCCTATATATAGTGGGGGGAAGGGAGGGAAACCATACCTAAGCCCTAGCGCCTCCCTCTCCCTCCCATGACACATCTCCCTCCTCCCGCAGCGCTTGGCGAAGCCCTGTTGGAATCCCGCTACTTCCACCACGTCGTCGTGCTGCTGGATCTCCATCAACCTCTCCTTCCCCCTTGATGGATCAAGAAGGAGGAGACGTCGCTGCTCCGTACGTGTGTTGAACGCGGAGGTGCCGTCCGTTCGGCGCTAGGATCATCGGTGATTTTGATCATGACGAGTACGACTCCATCAACCCCGTTCTCTTGAACGCTTCCGCGCGCGATCTACAAGGGTATGTAGATCCACTCCTCCCTCGTTGCTAGATGACTCCATAGATAGATCTTGGTGACACGTAGGAAAATTTTGAATTTATGCTACGTTCCCCAACAGTGCGGAGAGCGCCCGGCGGCCGACGGGCGACAGCGGCGGTGAGAGTGGAGAGCTGGATTTCGGGGAAATGGCCGTGGGGAAGGACGAACCCCGTGGTTAAGTCAGAAGTAGCAGTAGCGCGTTCTAGAAAGGGCGCTACTGCTACATTAGCTACAGCGCGTTCTGGGATACACGCTACTGCTACTCCTTTCTCTTTTCCCCCTTTTTCATTTAGTTTTCTTCACATTTTATTTTTTTCCTTCCACCTTATTCTATTTCTTTCATTTTCAATTACCTTTCTATGTGCTTTCCATTTAATTTTATATCCTTTAGTAGTAGCGAGTTTAGATTAAAACGCGTTGCTACGAAGAAAGTAGCGGTAGCGCGGTTCGATATAGGTCGCTACTACTATGTGTAGCCTATCGGCTAAGCCGTGGGAATTTTAATAGTAACGTGTTTAGAACAAGACGCGCTACTGCTAAAACTTTATCTACAGCGCAGTTTGCACAGGCACGCTACTGCTACTTAGCAACAACGTGCTTCTTTGACCCGCGCTACTACTAAAGTTCTGTGTATAACGTTTTCCCTAGTAGTACATGCTTCGGAGTATGTCTTAGATATGTTGTTTCCACTTTGCCACATGGTTTTATGTATAGTTCAGAAAAATGTGAAAGCATGAATCTTTCTATATGTATTCATCTCTTACAAGCTTTAATTAGGTGATATAGGTTTTCACAGATTACACTTTATGATAGCACTAATAGTTTCTCCTGAAGAATAATGGTTAGAACATGTATAATTAACCAACTAGGAAATAGATAAAAACACTAGCTATTTTGAGGAAATCATTGGGCTGAGTTTGATTCAATTTTAGAAAACTTAAAGGAAATCTCCATTAAGAAATCGAACCGCTTGATTTTCCTGGTGAAATGATCATATTTTCCTAGGTTTTATACTCGTTATCTTGTACGAAAAACTAAAATTGAACTTGGATATAGTTTTGAGAATTAAATCCCTGATCGAGCTTCTTTCAAACACAGAAAGCATATACATCCTGTGAACAGTTGTCTACTTAATTAGATGAGTACCCGCATTAAAAGTGTTTTTCCTTTGGTCATGTGTGCTGGCAAAAGTACAGGTGTAGAACTAGTGAACTTCTCAGTGCTAACCATCAGATCATATAGCGAAACATAGATACTCCATCAGAACAGTTATCACCCTTATCATAATAGTGCTAGTGGTTCCATCATTTTAATAGTGATCACATGCTTTTATAGTACATACCATTTTAAAATAGCTAAAACAATCAACATGTATCCTTTTCTGATAGTTAATTAGGTGATATACCTATCCACAAAGTGGGCATTATGTTGGTGCAAAAAAAAATACTTTTTTAGAACAACTCCAAAAGTTAGTGTGGTTAATTAAAGGAAGAAGAGCTCGAAAAGCACTACACTATTTAAACTAAGGGACAACACTTCCTTTTTGCAGAATATTACTCCAAACTTTTCTAGTGTGGTCCGATTGATTGCTACTTAAATTTGATCTTATTCCTGCTGCACGGAATATACAAAAGAAATATCCATAATGGAAAATCCAATTGTTCCATCTCACAGAAGATGATCTTACTTACATGGAATTACCGGTCAAGATCTTGAGCGAGTGAACAAGAAATAAACTACTTGATACTACATAATCCATAACAACTGGCATCAGTCTCCAATAATTCGAACTTTCGGTGGACAACCACCTTCAAAGATTGAGATCTAGTTAACATGTTGGTGCATACCCATAGCTCCATCCTTGCTGGCACCCTGCAATTTGTCCCGTATTCAATTCTGGTCCCCTACCAAGAATCTACGTTCCCTTTGGTTTCTTCTTGTTTAAGTATATATCCAGTTAGAAGAGGAGGGGAGTAGCAGATTCCACAAGGCTTGTAGGAGAATAAAGGCAGCTGCATATGGAATGCAGTAGCAATGGACAGGTTATTATCCATTTGTTTTTCCATATATACCTACTAATGCACTCATATACGCCCACGTGCCAAATGATGTGCTTTCCTTTCTATTTCCTGGCAAGTGGCTCATATGTTTATGACGTCAAATTTGTTTATTGTCTTGGATTTTCATGACGTCATCTCCCAAATTAACTTTAAGATGAGTTAATTAAAGTATTAAGTAAACACAATTTGTTTTAGGGAAACTAAGTTCTTTATTATGCAAAATTCTCCGAAATTTCTGAGGATATAATCTGTAAAATACAATCCTGGGGCGCACTGTCCAAAACTAAACTACCATCAACACAGAGTCCTTCACTTGCTAGATAGTGAGCAGCACTATTAGTTGATCCCTGAACCCAGCTCACCTTAGCTTCCTGAAACTCCCTAATCCTCCTTCAGGTCCTGAATCAAACGCCCAGAGGCTGACAAGTTCTTGTTGCCGTTGTTTAGCATCACAACCACGCCTTTGCAATCAAACTCTATATGGATCTTCCAAATATTCCTCTCACTTGCTAGTTGGAACCCCGACCGACAGGCCTGAATCTCCGCTACTTCAGGGTCCATTGTCGACGAGTAGCCGTAGCTAACCCCACTTGATATACGCCGTCCATTATGGGACAGAGCTAATTAAAGTGTTAAGTACACTAAAAGTAAGGCGTGACCCTGAATATCAGAGACCATTATCCTTAAAGACTTTGACACTAGTCCCAATCCAGGTCAATGGTCTTCCATGAAAAAGCATGTTCAAATTAGTGGACAAAGTGTAGTGTAGACGCATGGATTTTCAGTCTCTCTGCGTTCCACGACTCTGACCCAGTCCAATGAAGTGATTGATTATTCTGAGAAGCAAAATATTCCCTTGAAGAACATAATGAGGCATGAACGAGAGCAATGAACACCGAATTGATGGGCCATGCAGATTGCAGTCCATCATGCCTTGGCAAAAGTTTTGTAGCATCTTCAGGATCTGGACTATGCTTTGCTTGCAATGCAAATTCCGGCAAAAAAAAAATCTATCTTTACAGCGAACCTCGTTAGTCTCTCTGTTTGCCAAGTATATTTGGCAGAACGACAAATGCCATGACTAAATCCTGCTTGCCTTGAAGACCTGCGGGGGTTCCAGCGAGACAGTGGGTATCATGAACAAGGTGCATCAACAAGACGGGCCAAACTCAAATAGTCCGGGGAATCATGGAAACATGCCTTGGGACCACATGCCCTAGGAGAGACTAGCGTCTACCTTTTTTTTTCAAAAAAGAGGATGATCATTGGCTCTGCATCAGAGTGATGCATGCAGTCATGACCAGTGTCTATCTACAGCCATAAGATGTTAGCGACCCACCATCCATCATAGCCTTTGGTCATTCTGAGAGAATTTTCTCGTGGCCATTCTGACTACTTGCTTACCTTTGTTTTTTTGCTTACGATGAAAAGATTTGGCAAACGGCAAACGTTAGGATAAAATTCTACTTCCTCCCTAAGCAAATAAAATTCTAGTTCCTCCCTAAGCAAATATAAACGCTCTTATATTTCTTTCTTTACAGAGTGAGTACCTGCCTTGAAGGAGTCGTGTTCCGAGAAGTACTCTGTTCCGGGATGAATGAGCAGGGAGAGAGAGAGCATGGAGGACCGTCGTGCCGTCCACGAGGCAACAGGCCACCCATTTCCAACCGCCCGCGGCATCTTTGCTGCCTCCGGAATCGATCGTCGATACTGCCGCGGCGCGGCACCGCCGGCCACGATGCGTCGTGCTCGCCGCCCACCACCCTGATTTGACTGGAGGGAGCACGACCCCGACACGATAACACCACCACCACTGTGCTCAAGCCGGAGTTGTCGACCCGAAGACGTGCCTCCCGGTGAAGAGAAGACGCGCTTCAGAAGGTGTTGGACGAACCTGATCTCTGTAGATCGGGACCTGCACTGGGGTGGCGAGGGAGAAGTGTGAACCCGGACTCTGCTTTTCCTACGCCAAGGCTCCACACACGTCGCGTCCAGCACGAGCTCGTCGTCCCAGCACCCGGAGCATATATACCCCTACCACTACCACTACCACCACCACCACTACCACCACTACTCGGTGCACATCCAATCCAGATAGTCTTGTCCAGTCTAGTGAAGTGCAAACAAAGAAAACAGAAAGAGGCAGCCAGGAAGTCGAGTCGCCACTCGCCAGCAAGAATGTGCTTCGAGTTCAGCTCCTGTTTCGGCGGCGGCAGGACGGACGACTACGGCGGCGAGCGGTCCAGCCATGGCAGCTGCGGCGGCCGTCGCCGCGGCCGCAGGGGGTACGGCGAGAACAGGAGCGGCTACAACGCCACCGCCGCCGACCACAAGCCGGACGCGGCCTACGACCACCAGCGGGCTCTTGATGAGCAGGGGCACAAGGCCCACCATGACGTCGCGGGGAAACCTGACCACGCCGCCGTGGTCGCCGGCGCCGGTGGCCACGGCTATTACGCCGCCTACGCACCAGACAAGGCCCATGACGCACCGAAGCTTCCTGCGTGGCACAACAAGGTTGTCGACGACGCCGGCTACGCCTACAACACGGCGCGCCTCCGCCATCAGGCTGCTCCTGATCATAGGGAGCATGCGCACGCCGCCATGGATTACCACCACTACCCAAGCACTACTACCACTCTTGTAAGGTACTAGGTACTACTGTAGTCGTTAGGATTAGCTAGCATGGCAGTTCATCAATCCCTCCCTCCACTTAAACACTGCCTCTGCTTCTGTTCTATCAGGTAGCTCTGTTTTTCTCCTCTGTTTTTTGTTGCTCTTTGGATTTTCATCAGTCTTTTCATCTGCTCAAACTGAAAAGGCACCTGGAAAAGTTTGTGAGATTCAGCAGCCAGGGTGCTTGGATTTTTATCAGAGCCTCCATGTTTTTGTCCATGGATGTGCGGCACAAGTTCCAGCTCCAGGAAGCTTTTGTCAGTCGGTCTCCGTACTTGCTTGCCTGTAATTTTGCTTTGGCTGCTTTCTTCTTGTAGCATATAATCAAGTGAAAGAAAACATTTCTGAGATCTCAGATGATTCCCCATTTCTACCCTTGCTATGTGCATGTGTGTGGCTTCGCTGTCTTTTTATCATTCACCTAGTTCCAGGGCTTTAAGTCTCTCATGAATATTTATTCATTCTGATTGGTCTGATCCCAGAAACATTCTGAAGCACTGAAACCGCAACGGCTTGAACAACAGCGATCATCATATTTTTGTCTGTTGGCACCTCATCTACTGCTTGCGATACACCACCACAATTTGTATAAACCCTGAAGAATCATACTTGCTCAACATATTACCAGGTCCTAAAGCAGTATAATGATTTATTTCAAAGAAAGGTTCACCCTGATTTCCATTGGAAAAAACCAAATTTTAGTACAAAGTCCCGAGAATGAATTTGTATAACGATGTGTTTTCTATTCTTTTTTCCTAACAAACCGCACATATGTTTCTGACGCCATAAATAGCTGTTTTTCCGGGAGGTTCATGACATCATGCCTCCACTGGAGGTTAAAATAAAGTTCTAAAACGATATGAGTTGTCTGAATTAATTAGTGTTAAAATGATGCATGAAAATGAAGAAAGTATGGAAACTGATATTTTTCGATCTCATATTCACATGACACTAGTCATGACTAAGTCCAGTGAAATGATTGATTGTTTGCATAACCAAAATATTCTGCTGAAAATCACCAAGCATTGGAAAACAGAGCTATCATTAGCTGAGTTTGCTCAATAACATAGCCGTCTGTGGTGAGCCAAAACCGTGAAAAGTGAGCTCTAAGCAGCCTCGCGATGATTTGAACTGGACCATGTTTCGTACATCCACGGCCATCACCTTTGGCAACCGAGAAACAGGCACTACTATTCTGAAACAACTCCTGTTTTTCAGGATTTTACAACTTCCCCTAGTTCCGCCAGGCAATCACTTGGAAGAATTTGATCCATACTCTCCTGCGTAGAATATACAATAGGAATCTCTATCATAAGAAATCTAATTGCTCCCCCGCAAAAAAAAGTAAGAAATCTAATTACTAGATGTCCAAGGGAAATGATCCTATTCTCACAGGATTTATGATCAAAATGTTGCACAAGAGGAACAAAAAGCAACTTCGGGATTCTTAAGATTGACGATCGAGCTTTATTCAGCGATTGATTTTTTTTCCCGTGAACACTTGCGCCAATAACAATCGAGAGCATGTACATGCACAAGTGCTTAATTAGATGAGTGCTTTTTGTAAAGAAATGATTTTCTTTTGGCATAGCTTTTAATTACAAACTAACTACCATAACTATAGTAGATGCACTATAAGGGCTGAGATCATCCGTATCCTGCTAGTGGTTCCATAATTTTAATAGTGGTTACAAGCTTTGATAGTACATATCAACAAAGTGTGCTTTATGTTGGGGCTTAAAAATATTTTTTGAGAATAACAGCAAAAGTTTGTGTAATAAATTAACTTAAGAGTTCAGAAAGAACTACACAATTTAAAATAAAGGACATATTCTCTTTTGCAGAATATTGCTCCAGCCTTTTCTAGTTTGGCAAGGCGGTCCCTACCCAAAATTTGATTGAATTCGTTGTGGATGGAATACGCAAAAGAAATCTCCATCATGGAAAATCCAATTGTTCGATCTCCACATCAGATGATCTTATTTACATAGGATTACCGATCAAGATCTTGTGCGAGCGCAAACTAGAAATTAACCACTTGATAACAGGTGGCATCAATCTCTAATAATAAGGACTTTCGGTGGACAATCACCTTCATGGACTAAGATCTAGTTAACTTCCTCAGTGCTCATCCATGCCCATCCTTGGTGGCACCCTTCAATTTGTCCCAATCCAATTCTAGCTTCATGTTTTCTACCAACAATGTACCCTCCCTTTGGTGTCTATTTATTTAAGCATATCGTGGTGTGGCTGAACAATCATTTCAGCATTTCCAATTAGAAGAGGAGGGAGAGCAGCAGATGCCCCTAGGCTTGTAGGAGAATAAAGCCAGCGCCCAGCGGCATATGGAAAGCAGCACCAAAGGAGATGTTGTTATCCATTTGTTTTTCCAGATATACCTAGTAATGCACTCACCTACACTCACGTGCCAGATGATGTGCTCTCTTTCCTATTTCCTGGTAAGTGGCTCGTATGTTTTCTGACGTCAATTTTGCTGATTTTCTTGGAGGCGATGACATCTTTTCCCCCTTGGGCATTAATATGGGTAAAAAAAGTGTTAATTAAACAAAATGGGAGGATTGGACGACATGGTGTGCTTGGCATGTTTTTCAAATTGCATTGTTAAGTAAACTAAAAATAAGGCGTGACCCTGACTATCATAGAGCATTATCTTATAAATTCTGATGACACTATTCATGGTCCAGGTCAGTGGTCTTTCATGAAAAAGCAAGTTCAAATTGCTGAACAAAGTGTAGACACTTAAACTTTCGGTCTCGACTCATGACCCAGTCCATGAACTGATTGATTATTCTGGGAACCAAAACAATTCCCCTGAAGAACACAATAGGGCATGAACCAGAGAAATCAACACCGTAGATGGGCCACGCAGTCCCTCACGCATGTGTATTATCGGTGATTGCTCGATTGCTTTGGCAGTGGAAGTTTCGTAGGATCCTCAGGATCTGGACTGTGCATTACTAGACAATGGAAGTCTGGCAGTGGAAGTTTGGTAGGACCCTCAAAATTCCGGCCAGAGAATCCATGTTCACACTGAACCTTGTTAGTTTGTCTGCCTGGCAAGTATTTGGCAGAACGACAGCAAGTTACTGGGTACCATGGACATGTATCTGACGGAGCATCGGCAACATTCAGTCTCTTGCCGTCACCGACGCAATAGCTGACCACAATAGCCGACCGGCCAAGCATTATTGCCCGGAAGTCAAACTGTCAAATAGTCCAGGGAATCACACGTAAGGTAAGTTCATCGATGCTACGTGCAGCGGCACTGCCCAGCATGACTCGTCGCGATCGATCAGTCGTAGTCCGCCGTAGTACCTGAAGAAAGTGCCACAAGGGCGAGCGCACATAGCATCTCTTGCCTACTTTCTCGCCTACTTGACACTTATTAAGTCAAATTGATATTGAAATGTGCTAGTAGTATAGCCTTATATTTTGTTTGTATACGGATGAATCATAAGGTAGAGACTCCTTATGTACCACACATTTGCCTCCAAAACTTACTTGTTTTCTTGTGCAATTTTAGCAGGGTGCATGGTATTGTTTTCAAAGCCAGAAGATAATTTTCTGCAAAATCATCCTCTGAAACTTTAACTTCTGTAACAGAGTTTACAAATATCCCAGTTTTATTACTAATAAATTTAGTTCTTTTTCTGTATGGGGGACAGGGGCGGAGCCAGCACAGGCCATGGGTGTGCAGATGTACACCCAAAAATTACAACCAAAAAATCGTATATATTTGTTTTTGTTGAGTGATCCCCACACTATTAATTCTAATCAAAATTCAAATGCGTAGCTGACAAAAAAATACACATACATGCTTCAGAGATATCGCAAGAGCCCACCCGTGCCCAACAGGCCAATAGCCCACTAGGCAGTAGCCCAGGAGCATATGTCGCCCTCAGCCACGAGAGACTACTCAACTCAGCTTCTAGGGGTGAATTAACAAGCTGCTTAGCTCGTTAAGCTCATGCTCATTAAGACTCGGCTCGTTAAGCTCGTTAAGTTTAAAAAGCAGAAAACCGTGCTCGGCTCGGTTCGTTTGAAGCTCGTTAAACTCATGAGCCCTCGCGATCGCTCGTGAACAGATTATAATGTGTTATGGTCTACAGGATAAGTGTGCAGGGGTGGTTTTTAAGATAAAATATGGTGACTATAAAAAGAAATGCACTACTTTGTTGCCTACTATGTCAATTAGATTGAATAGATGGGCTGAGATGCTACAAAAAGTTTATTATGTAAGATGAAAAATGTATTATGTTGTTACTAACGAGTTTAACGAGCTACTCTTGAAACTCGTTAGCTCGTTCGCTAAGCTAGTTAAGTTTAACAAGCTGAAATCAATGATTGCTCTGTTCACTAAGAAGCGAGCTACGAGCTTAACGAACGAAACTATCGAGCGCTCGTTAAGCTTGCGAGCTTCGATCTTTTGGTCCAGCCCTATCAGCTTCAGTCCAAATCCACCCGAGCCGGACGAGCAATCATGCGGCGCTCGTCGAAGCAGGATCTAACTTCCTGGTGCCTCCAACTCCTACATCTAGAGTACATGAAGAAACTCCATCCCATTATTTCCAGCAATTGGACTATTAATTTCTTGAGTGAATTCCACTTTTTACCCAATATTTATACATTTGTGACACTAATTACCCCTTTCGAGTGAAAATTCGTCTAGAATGCCCCTTTTGAAATCTTTGGACCCTTGTTTTTTGATGCGTGTCCATCAGGTAAGGTGTGAGGTGACGCCCTGTATCCAAAAACATGTGGACGGCCACAAGGAGTGGAACAGATAGGCAAGAGAAGCTTGGACAAGATCGCCAATGATGCCCTCCGATCCTTACAGTTTTTTTTACGAATCAATGACGCAACATGCCGATCCTACCGACCATAAACAAACAAAATGTAAAACTGGGGTAAAACCGTGTTAAAAGTCTCCAAAATCTGACATTTCGATAAAAGTTCCG